AGCACACAGTGGTCGCTATGCCCCAGTGGAGCGTTAATTGTTACCTGATCAACGAAGTGTCTTTCGTTGGTGATGACCAAATCCAAGAGGGATGGTAGTTGGCCTGCGCGGTATCTGGTGGGTGCAGCGACATGTTGGGTCCAAGCGTTCTGTTGAACGACTTCTAACAGCGCCGCTGCAAAAGGTCCTCCCGATTCGACGCGCTGGAGCTCAATCCAGGAGGCCTTTGGGGCGTTGAAGTCACCTACCAGCAGGAGATGAGTGAAATGGTAGTCGGAGGGAAGTTTCTCAAGGGTTTGTGTGAGGAATTGGTCATCTTCAGGGGGACTCGAAGGGCTACGGTAGACCACGCCGAGAGGGAGGAATCGGAACCAACACTGCCTCTGCTTCCTCCGAGGTTGATTAAAATCGTAAGGCAAAAGAACGAACTTGCATACTGCGCGACTAAGCACTGACTTGGTGAACCGCACCAGGAGTAGTGACCGCTTAAACCGGATGCCACAACTCTGTCCCAACTGGGACCCATTGGCCGCATAATGCTTTCAGCAACAAAACCGTTGCGAGTGGAATAAACAGTTTGCGCCGAAATGTTGCATTTTGTTGCGTATGTGCTCAAGCCAAAAACATCCTAATCTATGTTCGTGTTTTTACTGCTCACAGAATTCCATGGTCCACTGAAGCAATCATACCCCGGAGAGAAAGGACTTCGCTGCGGATTTGTTTATTAGAGAAGTACCAACAAAACAGTTACAGACTATTGGACAAGGAAGCAAAACTCTCATATGTATCTTGTTCACTAAAATGAATATCCATTTTCTCCTTGAGCGCGTCTTCCTAAACTTTCCTGGATATTCATTGATTGTTACTCAAATGCAAGCAAAGGCTACAAAGCAACTCCACAAATTACGAAATAGATCTCACTTTTCAAGAGACGAGACGGATTTACGAGAAAACATACTGCTCGCATGCCTCATCAGTAGTATCCACCGTTGCACTTCTAGCGGAGTAACCCTGCTGGAATGCCTTCCCGGCATCGCTGAAATTCCAGGATGCCTAGATGGGGTTCAAAAATGTGGACTCGTACTTTGAACTCAATTGCCCGTCCTCCTTAGTCCATCGGAGACATGTCGTAGCGTTTTTAAGTTCATTTCCATTGTGCGGATACTAAAGTTATATGACGAAGTTCAAAAGATATTACGTAACCTAACCATGGTATTGCGATATTGTACAAAAAACATACAGTTCTGCACTCAAGGTATACCAACCCGTTTATCGTCACAACAGACTAAATCCAAAGGTACCTCTCCTAGAATGATGGCCGGAGTTGCCGTCTTATTTGGGCAAGGACAAGACACGTTCGGAGGTGCTTGAGTTTATGCTCATGCAAGTTCGTCAACAAATCCTTTCGTTGTTTTACACATTTATGATTGAGCTTTTCCATCTGAGAATAGATTTATGTGCAAAACCCCATCACATCGCCCTCCACTTGGCGTCTCAACCACTTGTTACATTCATGAGCCATAGTGTGACTGATTAATCTGTCTCGACTATAAGCGAATTACAAAAATGCGGATGCGCCGGAAGCCCACCGAAAATAAAACGTGGAATGCAATGTTACGCTTGACAAACTTGGTGGAGTTTCAAGTGTGGGGGTTTGTGGGGTGACCAGACAAACTTATCATTTAATTATCCTGACTCCTTTGTCTACGCCAGCTGCCCCTAGCTTATGGGGGCCGGGTACGTCGGCTGCGAGAGAGGGGACTCAACTTTCAGACGCAGTAATCAGGACCACATCTGCACCCCTAGTGAACAGACGCATGAGACGGTCCCACTGAATCATCTAGGAGTCGTTCGGCAGAACAATCATGCCAAAAAAGCCGTGACATCTGCCCCTAGTTGGTGTTCTTGTAAAGTCCCGTTACAAATCGCCTCGCGCAATATGGTTAAGCAGATAGGGAAGAAAGGGAAATATTGAGCCTCTTGTTGCGAACTCCTCTCCACCCACCATACGAAGAATCTCGGATGGGACCAACAGAGGTCAGAAACTCTTGCTAAAGTTCAATCCTATATCCGAGAATCCCCCTCGGATCACAGCGGTTTTAAATGGAAAGCGTGAAACAAATTTCACCATAGCGACTGTTCAGCCAGTCCCAAACTTATGACGGGCCCAATGGTATTTACAGACTCTAGTGCCTCCAGGAGCACAGTGACTCTGCTAGCCGTGGAATTGCAGCTTCCGTTCAACTGTGGTGAACCTGTACCGGTCCCTTAACACACAACCGTGACTGTATAGCTCACCGCCACTCACAAATCATGAGATCTGTCCTTTTTCTTGCACTCACAGATCACGCCACACAATCGTAACTCGCTTGACTACGCAGCTAACAGCTGGTCCTTTAATCACAGGACTCGCTTTTTCCCCTACACTTACAAACAACGAAAGGCAAGGGTGACGCATCTGATATTGACCGTCTACCGACTGATGATCGTAGCAACAAAACATGTGCTGACAAATCACGTACACGCAAACGGACCCGCATATGGGGAAAGCGAACACGGCCAACTCACGCAGACTGGCGCGCGCAGGGAGCAGGTCATCCACTGTCCACAACTCCATGGACAATTGTGCAACACGTGTAGCAGCTATTCCACCTGGAAAACGCGCTTCCGCCGTCCGAACCTTCAGAGATGACAAGTTTCTCTTTGACTTGTCCCCTTTTTGCATTGTATTTATTTTTATAGGATTTGCATATCACCATTGTAAACCATGCTAAAAACTTTTATTAGTGCAGGTACCTTCTGAAGCACATTATGGCTATCATGAGCCGTGCGCTAATAAACCCATCGACTACCGACGGCAGTGATGTTGAGGGCGCTGCAAGCCTCGCGAGGCCACAGTAATCATCCGGCTCCGTCTCTGGGACGAGCTCTTTCGTAGCCGATCGATCTTCGTTCAAATTTGGCTAGCCTGGTTTGTCTGCTAAAATTTCGACCTGCCTCCCCCACATGTTCAAATTCGTATGCGGTGTTTGGGTCGCCCTAAGTATTAGCGTCTTTCCCCCTACGACCTATCCCCTGCACCTGACATCCCTACAGCAGTGCAACCAGTGAGTCCGCTTAGTTTAAGCTGAAACTACATTTCTGAGAAAAACTCCCCATGTGCTTCCAAGTTGAATCGTTCCGTCTCCAGTTTTGCTCGTTGTGACTTCGGCCATTTACATAACCGCCCAAGGTAACTCCTGACCAGCAATGGCTTTAAGTTTTAGTTCATGCCAGCTGGCTATGTATTCGAACCTGTCGGACCTCATGCTCATTGAACCCAACAAGTTGGGAAAGAAACCTATTATTATTATTTCATCGGATATTACCCACCGTTTATGACATTGTACTCTTTTCGTACAATCCGCACCCCCACAAATCCCACAGTCATGCTTCATTCTGACCGTAAACATATGATGATGCCAGACGGTATGCTACACACAAGCTGGGAACACATCATTGTTACTATTACAATGTGTGGAATCATCTCTTCTTAATTCATTATCGGGCTATTAGGGCTCAACTGTGTTCTCTGCACTTAAGTCACAATCCCTAAGCTTGGGTCGACTGTGCCTAAACAAATGGCGAAACCCATCGACAGATCAGATGCAAGCCCCGACCTAGGCATGAGAAACTCAGC